GGGGCCTTTTCCAGTCACGCCTAGAGGTAATAAGTACCTGTTGGTGGGGGTCGAATATTTTACCCGGTGGCCTATGGCGTGCCCACTCGCCAACCAGTCGGCGGCGGCTGTGACGGACGCCTTTGTCCAGGACTACGTCCTGGACAAGGGGGCTCCCGAACGCTTGCTGACCGACCAAGGGAAAAAATTTTCGAGTAAATTACTGCAAGAGGTGTGCGACCTGTTGGGTACTAAGAAGGTGCGTACCTCCCCGTACCACCCGCAGACGGACGGGATGGTGGAGAGACTCCACAGGACATTGACTTCTATGCTGTGCCAGCAGGTGTGTGAGGCACATGTTGATTGGGACCTGCAGGTCCCTGGGGTCCTCGCCGCGTATAGAATGGCCCCCCATGCAGCTACGGGATTTTCCCCGTTCTATCTGATGTACGGTCGGGAGGCCGACCCGCCCATGGAAACGCAGCTGGGCCTGCCCGCACCACGAACTAATTCAAAATTGGCAGAGCATATTAAATTTAATATTCATAAGCTGACAGAGGCGAGGGAGGCCGCACGGCTTAATTCGCGGGCTCGCCAAATTGCAAACGAGCGGTTGCGTGCACGAAAGGTGTCCGTGCACAACTGGGAACCAAGTGACAGGGCCTGGCTGCATTGCCCTCAGGCACCTTTGGCTACGTCGCCTAAATTGTTGAAGCCATGGCGGGGACCCGTGGAGGTCGTGCGGGTTGCACGCCCCCAGTGCGTTCAGATAAAATGGGGAAAACGCCGTTGGTACGTCCACCCCTCCCGACTGAAACCGTTCTCGCCTCCACATGGCCTCCCCTTGTGTCGTGAGGGCCAAGCATGTGACGTGACCGACGACCCTAAGGGGGAAATGTCTTTGCCTGACCCTCACATGTCTCCGCCTGATCCGCTCCCAGGTGTCTCGGAACTGACAGCTGCCGACCATCGGCGGCCGGATCTTCACGGCGGGGCCGGTCCTTCCAGGCCCGATCCGCGCCGTCTAGAGCTGCCGGAGCCACCGGACGGTCGCCAGCGTCCCGTCCCATACGACGGACCGGCCAGACGGACTCGCGCTAGGTCGCGCTACTTTTTATGACCTACCACGTGAGGAGTCGAGGCAGCCGGAGCGCCTCGTCACTGCGTTTAGTCACAGAGACACTTGGCGCGTTCGGTTTCTGGAGTTCGCTTTTATTGTGTTGTTCGTCGGGCTGTATATTGCTTCTTATTTAAGTGTTGTTGTTGTGTTGTCGTTGTTGCGTTACGGGGCACACTGGGGGGTGGGGTTTTTTTTTATTGCGTTAACGTTGGGTTGTGTTGTTGGTTAACAGCCGGGCCGGCTGCAAGCTATGTGGGAGGGGGTGATGTAGTGGTGATACGCGCTGGGATTAGGGATCGTATGCCAGCGCGTAATGATTGGCTGTGTATGTGGTGACGCGTGCTGACGGTGGAGGATCAGGGGTCAGCGCGGGGTCGTGGGTTACGGGGTGCTGATTGGCTGTGTGCCGGTGACGCGCTGAGAGGGAGTGATCAGGTGACAGCGCGGTGTGATTGGTGGAGTAGTGTTAACACGCGCTGGGGGAAAACGGATCGTAGAGAGAGCGCGTCGTGATTGGTTAACTAAGGAGCGATGCTCACATAGACGTCCGCATCAGCTCCGTCTCCCGTGAGCAGGGGCTATAAAAGGGGATGCACACAGGCGTAAGGGCAGTATGTAACCAGCGAAGAATGAAGACGGGGATCGAAGAGATAGGGCCCTGCGGTACCTAGTCCCGCTGTCCTAACGGGACCGGGACTCTGTGTAACCCAGAGGCGAGTGTATTGTGTGTAGCCATAGGCATAGGGTCTACACGAGCCGAATGCATTGTGTGTAGCCAGAGGCATAGGGTCTACACGAGTCAAGTGTATTGTGTGTAGCCAGAGGCATAGGGTCTACACGAGTCAAGTGTATTGTGTGTAGCCAGAGGCATAGGGTCTACACGAGTCAAGTGTATTGTGTGTAGCCAGAGGCATAGAGTCTACACGAGTTAAGTGGAGTGTATAGTACAAAGAATAGAGACCACACGTTGTATTGTGACACGTCAAGATTTAATAAAAGTGTGTTACCCGTCAAGAAGTTCCTGCCGTCATTTCCCATACTTCACCAATGCTGGCTGAACAATGAAGAGAGTACTGTTAAACACTGGGGATGTTAACACTCGGTAAAGTAAAGTAAAATAGTGACTGTCAGATAAGATGGTCCAAAAAAGTGTAATTAAGTCTTTTTTGCGTGGTTGATAACATCTTTCCAATGATTACTAAGTTTGTACCCATCATCACGGTTGAAATTATGTCTGTGTTTGTATATTTATATGGCTTCGTGTACAAACCTTTGATGGTAGCCGGGAGGTTTGCAGAGAACCTTGGTCTCGGAAAAGACAATTTTATGAGAGCCCACCGAGTTGTAGCAATGATCGGCAATGGCAGAAGAATCAGTTCTGCCGTGTTTCAGATCTGACTTGTGCTCGCGGACACGATCAGAAACATGACGTTTCGTTTCTCCAATGTAGCAATCACCACAAATGCAACTCAATTTGTAGACTCCAGGATACTGTAAGTCAGGAACGACATCCTTCACAGATGGAATCAGATCACGGATTTTATGCACTGTACTGAATCGGACTTGGATCTTATGTTTGTTTAGAATTTTGGAGATCTTTTTGGTCACGCCTGCTATTTATGGTAACGTGATAGTTTTGGTCGGAGTTTCATGTGGCTGTTTCTGTGTGGTGGGAGAAACAGCTTGGCGGATAGTACGGTCAGAGTATCCGTTCATCCTGAGGGCCCGATGTACATGTCTTAATTCACCGGTCAGGTGGTGTTTGTCAGAAATGCCATGGGCTCTGTGGTATAGCGTTTTGATGAGAGAATTCTTTTGAGATGGGTGGTGGTGGGAATCCGGTTTCAAGTAGGAATCTGTGTGGGTGGCTTTCCTGTAGACAGAATGTCCCAAGGATCCGTCAGGCCTCCTCTCAAACAGAATATCCAAGAATGGTAGTTTACCGTCTTTCTCCACTTCCATGGTGAATCTGATGGATGGGTGTCTAGAATTGATGTGGTCCAAGAAGTGGTTCAATGCTGGGAGGCCATGTGGCCAGATGACAAAGGTATGTGGATGACACTTTCACGGAGACTTGTGTTGCCTCCGAAACGTCGTGATTTTTTTTATTTTTTTTTCATTAATTTTGATGTTTTACCTACGTGACTTTACCGAAAAAAACCTAAGAATAAGAAGTTGGCAGATATTACAATGATAATGTTTGTGTGCACAAAACTACAATTTAATTATTAGGTTGCTAAATATTTCCTTTTTTGACTGTGTTTTTATGACGCTGAGACGGTGTACTGCCAGTCTGCTGTGACCTGCTGCTTGCTAATTAACGTCAGTGCACTGACACTAATATCTACACTGCTAATTTTGCTTTTGCCCATTGTGAGTGTATGCCAGTCTATAATCTGTTGCCTGCTTCTTTACCTCACTCAGTGTACTGCCAGCCTTTCATGTCAACTGTTTCCTGCTTTTTCAGCTGCTGACCGTATTGCCAGCTTTGCATGTCGACTGTAGAAATGCTTATGTCATTGAGTCGGCGTACTGGCAGTCTATAATATAGACTGTAGCCTGCTTCTCAACTTACCTGTGGGTACTGCTGCTCTTTAATGTACACTTGTTTCAGCTTATTTCTTCAATGCATTTCTATTGTTTCGATTGCTCACGGCATGCTTTTTACTGATATGTAGTACTGCGATGCTGATTAATATGTTATACTGCTAAATACGTTGGACTTTCTTAGCTACAGCCCATTGTATTTCGTCTATCATTTTGTTACATTCGTGGGAACATCACCCATTTATATTTTGCCATACCGCACCTTTCCACCAAAGCAGGGAGCACGCAGGGAGGTTCAATGTCCCAAATAGTGTTGACCTTGCTTTCTTACGGTGGGTGAGGGACATTGTGAGAGATACATTGTTCTTCCATACCAAGAAAACACCATCGCACGATTTCCTGACACTAACAGAGCATACAATGTCCTACAATAACACATTTTCCTGTGGCAAGGCCAAGATGGGTACCACGTCAACATTCCTCTAATTACAAAGCTGTAGGACAAAGACATCATCACAAAACTGTCTCCTCTAAAAAAAACTTCTATTCCTTCGTGATCATGGACAGAGGAGGAAACCACATATTATGGTGCGCCAACCTCTTTCACCAGTATGTTGTCGATGAGTATGCCAACATTGAGAGTGAGCGCCTTCTTTACATTCAACTGAATCAAAACCGCCTGCGTGTGACCAGTATGCTCATCTCTGGGATGCCATCAATGTCGAAGGAGATGCAAATGGTCACAATGTGGGCTGATTAGTCATTTTGCCTTCATCCTTCACAGCTCCACCAAGATACGTGCATGAAAAGACTCAGGGTGCTATGACGTACATCAGCCAATATGCCACGCCCCATCTCTTCATCACCTTCACTTGCAACCCCAAATTAAAGGAGATCCAGGTTTACCTTCATCCTAAGCAGTAACTTGCACACCATATTCCTTTTTCCCCATCTGTCAACTTGAAATTACTTTAATTATTTTGTGCAGTTTTCGTTTATTTATTTATTAAGTAGCGCGCGATCGACCGTACCAAGTCACACGCGTTCGGTGGGGGTGAGGGTCCATTTCTCTTTCGTGTCGACATTGTGCGAGGTAACACACGAAATCACAGCTCCCTTCAAACATACATCTATCTTTTTTCTTTCATTTCTATTACTCTTTTTTCATAATACAGCGTACACATTAACCCAATGTTTTATGACAGTATAAATATTTACACAATATAACACACTTTTCCCCCTGCGTACAGCTGTTACATTGAATGACCTTAAGACAACAAAGTCCAGCCAGTGTGTCCTTTTGCCCACAAACTTTCCTGTTCGCCATGTTCTCACGTACAGTTATAAGTTTCAGAATGAGTTTTTAAGAATAACAAAAAAATGTATTCTGTAGTCTTTATAAGAAAACATTTTTTTAAATAATAAATAATCGATCAATGTAGTGCATTTTTCTTTTCACTTTTCTTATGGCGCCTTTCCGAAAAGTCTAAAGCTACCTTAAGGTATTTCTAACAAATAGTACATATGACTGTGATAACGACACACGTGGTAGATTGACGTTTTTTGGAATTTCTGCGTGATTGAGAAGGGTCATTGCCAAAAACGTTGCCTATTTTATTACCAAAATGTTGAGCTTTTGTTTGTTCACTGTGCTTGTGCACCACTGCCAACGCAGCAGCAGGAGCAGCATCACCAACATAATTGGTCGTCTTATTTCTCAATACTGCTTCTTTCGTACGGCTGATGTAGACGCAGAGCAATGACTTACGATTTCACATTCAGGTGGTCAAGCCCAGACAAACCGCGTCAGGAGCAGCGGAGTGGTCTATCGCCGCATGTTTGTGGATCGGGGGCATTGCGTCGTTTTACGTTGTACGGTCTGTTCTGGATGACCGCAGTCGCACACTGCTGGAGTTTTTTGTTGTCCGTTTGTGCACCAGGTATCCGCATCTGCCATGGTTTGTGTGGATGCGGTTTAGGGTGGGCCATGAGCTTCGTGGAAGATCAAACCCAGGGATCTCCTGCGTCGTATGGCTGACGTTATTGGAGTGCAACAGCCATAGTTTAACAATGAGGTATCTCTTCTTTTTAGCCAGATAATTTCTGTCAGGAGTAGTGAAGTGGTGAATAATCGCTGTGATGACGCCTACTTCGTATTTGTGAGTTAGGCAATTGAGTCATGTTTTCCTATTGGCCTGACTCAATGTCCAATTCACAGTGTTTAATGTGAGAAATGTGAGTTTAGATTATTTGGCTGCTATACATTTCCACATGATGAGCCACATCGTTGAGGTATCATTTGTGACCAGGTCGCTTCTGAAAAAGAAGCTAATAGCTCAGTAGACTTTATTTACCTGTTTAAAAAAAGTTGACTTTTGTTTGTATACATATCGTGGTTTTTTTTTTGCAATGTTTGTTGATGTAACGTTCTGACCTGCACCTGCCGGACATCTGCGAGAAAAAAAAGAGCGTTATGCCTCATCGGATTCCTCCATCATAACTATTCTGAATCCAGTATAAAGGGGGGGGGGCGTGTCGGAAGACATGCCCTCTTTAACACGTAGGCTTTGGCGACCAGTATTCATAAAGGTTTTTGGATTAGATCGCTTTATGATAAATGTTTTGCAATCCTCCACCACTATTCTGGCAAATCGCCTGAAGATGCTGGATGTAATTACCAGCGAAACGTCGTACTCAAATTCTAAATGTTATGGATCCACTCTTCAAACACACCAGTGGGCTGAAGTAACAAATTGGCGTTTTGGTAACGTGACGCATTGTTACTGATTGGCCGTGTCGGGTGGTGGAGGGGTTGCGACACATTTATAATAACGCGATCTAACCTCAAAAACCTTTTAACACGTAGGCTTTCGCGACCAATCTTATCCATTACTAGTTGACACAGTCAACTAGTAATGGTTGTCACGTATACAGAACGTGCCAATTCGTCACTAGTACAGCACACCGGTGTGTTGGAGAGCCAAGCCACAACTTTTACAATCCGAGTACGACGTTTCGCCAGTAAAAAAAAACCTCGACTATGAACGGGTGCTTTGGTCTGCAGCCTCCCGTGGTCGCCTGTCTGCTGCCCCACCCAGTCAGACCCGCGGCCTGGCGAGCTTCGTGCCAACGTTCGAGACAGCGCGAGCCTCAGTCACGAAAGCTTCAAATCAAGATTAAACTTCTTTAGTTTAATGCCCTCTTGCCCTCACTCGAGAAACGACGCGCTTGTGACACAACTCTCGTAAAAACGCCACCACGGCGCCCGACTGTGGCCAACCGCTCGCGCTGATTGGGGCCGTCCATAAATGACGTCACGCACGTGGGGGGAGGGGGGGGTCAGACATTTGTGACGATGTGTGACGAGGGGGGGGTGAGAAATGTGACATCACATCACAGTGCGCAACTTTTAAGTAAATGTGGACAACACGTTCTTCTTAATTAAATTGACTTTTAAATACATGTTTTCTCCTACAACATCAGAGTGCAGCGCCATATTAAATACGCACTACAATGACAATAGTTTAAAGCGATTTCAAGCATGTTTTATTTTTGGGGGGGGGGGGGCAGAGCTTTGTGACGTCATATTTGAGGGGGGTCTGACTTTTTGTGACGCCGCGTAACGAGGGGGAGGGTAAAAAATCGTCCAAAATCGAGTGACGTCATTTATGGACGGCCCCATAGCCCCCCTCCCAATCACCGTTCACGTTCGCGGTGAACGATGCGATCGCGGTACAGAAATTTAGGGGTCGTCCATAAATGACGTCACACACCTAGGGGGAGGGGAGTCAAACATTTGTGACGAGGTGTGACGAGGGGGGGGGAGGGGGGGAAATGTGACTTCACATCAAAATGAGCAACTCTAAATATAAACAACACGTTCTACTGTATTAAATAGAATTTTATAACAACACTAGTTTTGATTAATTTCATTATTGACTATTTGATTATTTAAATTTACTAAGATCACCTTTTATTTATTCCCTGAAGGAGCATTTTGCTTCTCCATGGGAGAATGGAGAAGCATACATTTTGTAAAAAATGTTAAACATTTTTTAAACATTTTGATTTTGATAATTCTACCAGGGCTTTTCATTCTGTGGAATGATTATGTGATTGTTATAATTGTAGTCTCAAGTTTGCTTCGTTCTACTACAAAGTTTCAAGTATTTTTTTATAGTTAGAATTACTTTTCAATATTTTAAAATTATAAGAGAATTTCAAGATAATATTCTGAACATCTGCAATTTTAGTTAGACGTTGAATATTTTCAAGTGAATTTTATGCTAAATTTCAGCTTTCCAACGCCACCTTTTTATACGTGTTTTTTCCTACAACATCAGAGTGCAGCGCCACGTTAAATACGCGCTACAATGACAATAGTTTAAAGTGATTTGAAGCATGTTTTATTTTCAAAATGGAAATATGGTTTTGGGGGGGGGGCAGAGCTTCGTGACGTCATATTTGAGGGGGGTTTGACTTTTTGTGACGCCGTGTGAGGTGGGGACAAAAATCGGCCAAAATCGCGTGACGTCATTTATGGACGGCCCCTTAACGATAACGCGACTACGGTATTCTTTGCAAGATAAACCATGATGTGACGGCTGGTAATGCAATAGTGGCAAGGCTAATAGCTACATAACAACCGTAGGAAGAAAATAAATAATTGCTGTGTATCTTGATTTGAAGCTTTCGTGACTGCAGGAATCCATACTCTTTGGTTCTTTCGGTAAAGTAATTGCTTTGTAACCACGGTTTAAATGCTGTGATCGCGCGCGCCCCATCTTGCTCGAGACGAGAAGCTAAGCCAGGGTTGAGCCTGGGCACTGCGTTGGATGGGCGACCCATCGCCGTGCATAACAGGTGCTATAGGTGGTGTGGGCAACATCCCACGCCGCTGTGCCGCACTCGGGTCGACCCGCGTGGTCAAGTATGGTCAACGTATGGCGGCCCCATAAGGCGTGGAGAGGGAGGCTTCCTCATCCAGCAGTGGATCGAGACGCGGGATTGCACACGCACAACAGCAGCAGCAGCTGTAAAGCCGTATGGTAGTGATAACCTGCCCCAGAATGTGATGAATATTTTGAACGATAGCACTATAACAGCACAGTGGTTCAAAAGGCACCAACACAATAATAGCAGACGATCGAGAGCCATTGCGGGGACTTGCGGGTGGCTGCCTGTGACCCAGCGCTGCAGAGGCAGCAGCTAGGGTTGGTGGATCACTCCACAAACTCTTCATAATAAAATGTTTTTGGGTTAGAACGCGTTCAAATCTAGAATAGAACGCATTATTTATAAATGTGTCGCAACCCTCCACTACCAGACACGGCCAATCAGTAAAAAATGTGTCACGTTAACAATAGACAAATAATCCACTACTTCAGCCCACTGGTGTGTTGAAGAGTGGACCCACAACATTTACAATTTGAGTAGTACGACGACGTTTCGCTGTAAATTACATCCAACACTCTCCGCTCCCGCTTCCACCGGCGTGACTATCCACCATCCGAGCCCCACACTCACTGTCCCACACTGTCCCAAGGCCCCGCCTCTTCCCTTTCCCTTCCCCGAGCGTGGCCCCACTCCGGCTCTTGCCACGTCACTTCCCCTGACTCTCCCGATAGCACCCAAGCCAACGTGACAGGCCCCTCGAGTCCCCATCGGCAGGCAAGTGCAGGTAAGGGAGCACGTCTCCTCACAATAGTCACACCCGAGGGACACCATTTACGTCCCTACATCACCCCCCCCCCCCCTTTATGAAACCGTGCCCGAACACACGATGAGCCCGGATCAGCCATTGATCCATGTGGCCTTGGTTGGCACCCACGACTGCCGAGTGCCGGTGCTCCTGGACCCTAAATGGTCATTTAAATCGTGCAGTCTTTGCCCGAGTCCTCAACACTGGTCCGTCAAGCGAGGGTCCCACAGGTCCCCTGGAGGATCCGGGAACGGCTGGAGGATGACCCGAAGCCCCTGGCATCTCCCGAGGCGGGAACGTGTCAAGCGGCGGGTCAGGTGATGGTGTCCTCGAACTTCCTCGTTTTCCATGGATCGGAACCCCCTGCGACGTCGAGGGCGCTAGGCACGTAGGCCCTGTGGGCAGAATCATACAAATGTCCTGAGGCGAGACATCAGCCAACGCGCGCTCCAGCTCATCAGGCTGACCCAACACCCGGCCCTCGGAAAGTGGAGATGACGAGTCCACATCAGGTGAAAAAAAAAGTTTCAGCCGCGACGGGTACACAAACCAACGGTGACAGCCCAATTGAACCCGCACGAATTGAGGACTCCTGACTTCCACCACTTCCACAGGCCCCTGCCATGGCCTGTGCAATTTGGGGGAGGTGCCCGTTGGGACCTGGGGGCAGTGGAGCCACGCTTTGTCTCCCGGTGCCCATATTGTCGAGGACAGACTTGGTTTGAAAAGCCGTTCGTTGGCCGCCTGCCTCAAGGCCGAGTGGCCCTTAGCCGCCTCCCGAGCCTCTGCCAACCGTTGCAG